GAAGTGACTTCATGTCATCAACTGTGCCATAGGAAGGCATGACATTTCTAAAGAGATTTATGGATTTCACTTCCTGAAAGAGAAAGAAACAGTATCTTGTTTATTTTTAATTGTTCCTGTGGTGATTTAGGAAGGCAAAGAGTCAATCAGTGCAAAGGCAGGGGAAGACTAAAGGCAAAAAATACCACTACTGGAATTTCAAAACTTCCTTTGTAAGGCATCCAAGTTAGTTGGAGGTCAGCTGCAGGACTGCACAGTGGAGGGGGGAGAGCAATTGAGAAGCAGCCCTCAGGAAGGGAACCTGCCCTGGTTCCTCTTGGGCCAGTCATCTGGAGTGTCTTTGACCTGAACTGAAGGTCATAGCTTGCTGTCTCACAGTCTTTTACTGCTCTTTGAATCCTGTTCTCTAAATTATAGGTCTTTGAGAGTAGGTAGAGGAGGAGTGGAGCTATTCCCAGCTACATGTCTTGCTGCAAATTACTTGTGGTAAAAACTTGGTCCAGTGTAATGGAAGTAACTCATTACAGATACCTCATCAAAAAAAGCAGGAGGAAAGAGGATAGAAAAACAACTCTCAGTATGAAAAAATGTTCATTTTACAGTAGTCCCTTGAACACTCCATGTTTTTGTGGTGCTAAATACATTTCAGGTTTGCAAGCAACAAAGGTGAATTATGGGTGTGGACCAACATCACTGTAGAAAGGATTTTTGCCTTTAGCTCTCAATATCAGCATCATTTATCCATTGTAAAACTATCTGCCCTACTAGCTATTGTTTCCACACAAGCAGTGGAGATGGGACCTTGGCCAGATGGACAGAGCCCTGTTTGTTTGTTCCTCTGGATGGAACATTGTTCTGCCCTGAAACACGTATGCAGCCTTACTGCTTTAACATCTTAGAAAAAATTGCCTGAACTGAGCACTAACCCCTCATAAACAGCAGCTCTGTGGTCCTTGCAAAACTCTTGTAGAATGACAGCTTAAGGTGGGTTGGGTGCACTCTTTGAAGTAGACTTACAGTAAAAGAAATGTTTCTGAGTGAAGGTCTGACCCCTGAAAAGCAAGTGGGGGTTCGTTTCTGTTTCAGGTAAATGCGGTGGGTTCATTTGTCTCGTCTGTAAGAGACAGAATACGTGTATAAACCTCTGCAGGAATGGGACAGCAGTTTGCATGCTGCTTCAGGACCCAAACTGTTTTATGGTATTGGCTGAACCTAACAAAGTGAGGCCCCTTTCCACATCGAAGACTACTAAATATTATCCTCATGTTCCAGTAATGCTTTGGGCATGTGCTGAAATGCTTTGGCATTTTACTGTAAAAGTAAAAAAAAAGGTACACAAAGACTGCCATATCATCACCCAGGGCTTGAATGTCTGAGATCCAGATGCTTTTAGAGACAGTCTCCTGGATTTGTCTTGCATTGAGTTTTAACCAGAGTAATGGCCTGAGACAGAGACATGGAAACTCCTTCCCTTTGGCATTTTGTGGCTTTTGGGGGTGCTCCAGGCGGCTGAGGAGCCACACACCACCCAGCAAAGGTATTTTGAAGTACTGGGTCAGATGCAAGCATCCCAGTCTGTCCAGGGAGAGCCTCCTGCCTCCTCTCTTGGCACTGGAAGGATTCTTCTCCATTAGTTGGCATCATGCGAGGCAGAAGGCATTGGTTTCCCTAGCTGGATTCTTCATCTTTCTACCTGTCCGTTTTATATTTTATAAACCTATATAGGGATCATTTTACAACTTCACTCTAATAATCTGCTCCATAAATGTTTTATGAGCTGCCTGCCAATCTGCAAGTAGTTTTTAAATAAGACATGATGCTTGAAGAATATTTGAAGTCTCACTTTTTTCCTCTGATACTTTTATTGAACAACACAGAGCTGTGCAAAGAGGACATCTGTTTTCTAGAGACAGAAACTGGGACAAATCCACAACAGGAGTAAATGAGCTGAGATCCAGGTGTGCTGCTCAATTCCATTAACTCTTTGGCTGAGTGTCTCCAGCACAGTGGGAGGCAGTGTCAGAATATTTCTGCTTTCACTATATGTGATACAGAAAAGATGAAGGAAATCTGTTTTGTATAATGACAGTAAATTGGAGAACGAATCTTCATCAAGAGACTTCAGACTTGCAGTTTTTCCAATAAGAATTAAGAGCAAATACACATGCAGAAACGGATTATTTTCCCAAACAAATGGGAGCTTTTTCTATCAAAGAAACATATTGCAAAACCAGAATATTTATGTAATTTCATTTACTAGTTAGATTCACTTACTGAACTGGGACTTTCAATGTGAAATTTCAGGTTTTCGTGGGATTTAGGTAGGGAAGAAAGTCAGAAAACTTCTTTCTGAAGGTCCGGAATGGAAGAAAGGAGGTTTAGCCTCAGACAGGATGTGCATAGCCTGCTTCTCTGGATTGTTCTATGGAGGGTAGAGCCAAAGCCAACTTGTTTGCATGGGTCCCTTAAGTGTATCCCTGTGTGGTAGAACAGTGCTTTGCATTATTATGGTGCGCTTAGAACCCTGTATATCAGTGGTCACACATTCCCTGTCTCTCTCTCCTCCTTCTTGATGAGTGAGATACATTTAGTAAAAAGAGTAGTAGTAGAAAAGTACGTTTTATATGAAGCACTCTAAACCTGCGGAAGAAACAGGACCTTTGTTTGAAAAGATGAACAAAACAAATTTTTGCATTTCATATAAGCCAATGTTGGCGTATGTGCTTTAGGTGCATAGAACAAGGATGAATTGAGGAATTTTGAGTTTTTGAATATAAAACCACACTCTCCTTTACGTGCACACCCCAGTGCAGAAAGCTAGTTCTGCAGAAAGCTGATTCTGATAGTTCTGGCAACCTGCAGAGCTGAAACGTTGGGATTGCCAGAAGTGGGAACTGATACTGAGACTTCTCTCTTTAGTTGCTTGGCTTTCAGGGGAAGACAGCATGATGAAGGAGGAGAATCCATTTTCACCCAGAGATCATAAGAACCAAAATACCCTTTATAATGGCCCTTACTGTGAGGGTCTCGGCATGGGAAATGGCACTGCTGCTGCTAGAGCCAGAAGAGCAATGCCAAGAGCAAAGTGGGAATAACCCTCAAGCTGTGTCTCTCGGCTGTTCTTTGCCTCTATCATTGGTTTTGCATTCGGAGCACAATGGTCTCTGCTTGGCTGTGGTTCTGTCACTGCTGCCACAATCGCACCATGCATGGGTAGCCTGCTTACTCATTACTCCCTGTGTAGAGGCCTTGTCATCTTTGTGCTTGTGCCCCTGCATTGCTAGTCACTCCCCCCCCCGCTTATTTTTGCACCCTGTAGCAATCCATTGCCCTTTACTTGCCTCTACTGTTTTCCTGTGTCGCCTCGTCACATCTTCCCTTTCGTAGAGGTAAGCCCACATCCCTGCTGTCCTCCTGGCAGTAACCACATAGCTCATATTTCTTTGCCCTCCTCAGCCCTCTGGGGCCCAGTGCTGCCAGACCCAGCCCAGCAGCCCTGCCTGCATCCCCTTGCCGGGCTTTTGTTTTTAATCGTTTCACAGATCTGGTGCCAAAATCCTATAGCCGAAAGGCTGCTCGGCCCCTTGCAACCAGGCAGACAGCAGTTCACGGTAATAGGACTTCACGCTGAGGGCATGTTTCATGCAGATGCCCATTATCGCCTCCTCCTAATTGCAGTTTTGTTTCTGCTAATCATACACTCTTCCTTGCTGTGAGTTATGCTGGAGCGTGTGCATGCCCTGTCCCAAAATCCTGGGTGATGAAAGAGAAGTCTCCCAAGTTTCTCAGTTTCAAGTGGCAAATCGAGGCTTTCTGTTGGAGGTGTAACATCAGCTGTCCAGCTGTGTGCTGGCTGGCTTGCGAGCGTTGCTTGTAGGTTTTTCACTCTTACAAGCAATGTCCCTGTGTCTCATGTCCATGTGGTTTGCTTTCAGGATGATTCAGTACCTGTATCCAGTTATTATATCGGGTCCTTGAAAACAATGACAGATATATGTGCATCCCTCACACCTCATCCTGTACTTTAAAGTACACACGTGTGTGTATGCAGTGGTTGTCCTTGCCTGTGCGGTTACCCTGTAGCTTCCAAAGTGGTATGGATGTGAAGCAGGTTTCAGAAATGTAGCCACTTACTGCAGGTGTGGTGGCATCCCCTAGAGAACCAGTGCAAAGGCTGAGGGTTGAGTCAGGGCAGGGCAGCCACAGGAAGGTTTTCTGGGGAAATGTGACTCCTATATGGCTGTGTTCACAGCTCTATTGTGGGATCCAGCAGCATCCTTGCACTGCCTGGTGCTAATGCAGATGTAAGATAGGTCAGGCAGTGACTGTGTGCCTTCCATCTGTCTTGCTGCTGGGGTTGCATGAATGGTAGCTCCCTTGAATAAGGTAGGAGGTGTGTAGGAAACCCAGTCAGAGCCAGGAGTATATAGAAGACCCTGGAAGGCAGTGAGCCAACAGGTAGTCATTTGTTTTAGCCTTATCATTTTGCATGTTATGTTGGCACAAGGCTATTTTTACAATACCAAAAACTTTCAGTTCTGTGCAAATGCAGTGTGTAAAGGGACAGTGCAGTACATACAGGATGGTACCTGCAAAAGCTGGGGTTTGAGCTCTGTTGACTAGGAAATCCCATTTCTGCAATTCTAATGTTTCATCCCATTCCCCTTCCATTGTCCTTCCTGCTCTTGCTTTTTTTTTTTTCATAATAATAGCTAAATTAGATGTATGGCAGAATGGAGTTTGCGGAGGCATCTGTGGGATTTAGAAGCACAAGTCCAATTGAAAATCAGTGGGCCTTGGGCCCTGAATCCCATTAGGGAAATTGCAAGTAGTTTGATGAGCTAAAACTGGGACAGCAGCAGAACAGCCACTTGAGAGGTTGGATTTGTCACTGCTCTGGGTTTTTGTGCTTTGCCCAACTGAGGTAATGAGGGGGATTCTGCTATTCCAGAGACAAAAGCATTCTTTTTTGTTGTTGTTCTTGTTGTTGTTTTTTCCAGGCGGTGCGGCTACAGCAAGGCTAAACAAGACCCAGAAGAAGAAAAGATGCATTTTCATAATGGCCACAGTGAGTAAAGCTCCAACATGGATATATGTGTTTTTTGCTCTGCCTGGTAATGAGAAATACAACTGAGGGCTTTTTTTTTTTCCAGAAATCATTTTGCTGTTAATTTACAAAAGAATCCAGATAATTCTGTTGTTCAGTAAGTCCCCATCTGCCCCTGCTCCAAGCCTCACAGAGAACAGAGTGCAGACGTGAGAGTTGGAACAATTCTTATTTGTGCCCAGCTATTCATGCCTACATATTCTTTTTCCAGGATGGAGCAAACAGATACAAACAGAATGTTTGCAGTGGATCAGCCTAGCCAGCCATTTTGTTTTGTTTCATGGTGCTGGGATACACAGTGCGACTCAAGATGCTTTTAATTTTGCCTGGCTGGCATGTCACAGCTCTCAGTGTGTGCTCTGGGTGCATCTGTACAGAATACCTGTTATAAACCTTTGCTCTGCTCCAGCCAGCCCACAGCTGGCTGTGAGGACTGGACCCAGAGCTACTTTTTGCTTTGGATGCCTCTGCAAGACATGAGGAATTAATGTTCACTTCTTACTCTTAGGAAGCTTCCAGAAATGCCATATTAACGACTGTAAGGTGGTCTGAATAAATGAGCCTCCGTGGTGATGCTGAAAAGTACATATTGCAATTACTGTTAGTCCTTTGGTACCTTCAAAGCCAGCATCTGAAAAGCCTTCCTTAATAAAATGTTGTGGGATCTGTGGATGTGTAACAGTAAAGTGCCTTTTGGGTGGAAAAGGCAAACGTATCTCGAGCAAAAGTCAGATTTCCATTAGTGCTATGTAATGAAGGCAGCAGGAAGCAAATCAATTAAGAGCCACTGTGTAATGTAGCTGTCTTATTAGACTGATGAGCATTTCTTCATGTGAGTAGCCTTAATGATTGTCAAAACAAACTTATAATAAAGATAATGAAAATACTTTTTTTCCTCTTGAGTCCTGTAGAGAAAGCCTGGTATTGATTACATTTACACTGGTACAACCCACAGGCTTTGTACTGCAAATATTCTGTTCATTTAAATTTCAGTAACTCCATCTGAAATAATGTGGCTGATTGATTAGTTAATATATGAGTGGTAGGGCATAACTTATTGCAGCTCTCCATCAACTGCCATCCGTCTGACTTGCTTTGCAAGTTGTTGCTCAGCATTCCTCATTTTGTGCTCTTCTTCCTGGAGTCCCCTTCCTGCAGGAGGGCTGCTTGTTTGGGCTATAACCAGCTTCCAGGGCTCGTTCCAGTGCTGTCAAACACCTCAAAGCCTTTATAAACCTTTGCAGTGGGGAGAATTACAAATGAGGGACTGCAGTGTGCAGAGGTAGAGCTGCCTGCCCAAGGTCACCCAGGCATTCTCTAACAGTTGCTCAGCACGAAGCTAGGTCTCCCGATAGCACAGGTTTGCACCAGGCCCTGCACCAGCCCATTGCTCAGCACCAAAAGGAACTTCAAGCTGCTTGTCTTCCCAGCTGGCCACTGTCATGGGTTTTCCTAAATATGATGAAGATGCACGTGTGTCACATATAATCTAAATGTCATTTTCTGAAAGTGCTCACTTGCACAGTGTTTCAAAGCACGGGGCATCCTCAGAGAGCATTCAAAAAGCATTATCTGTTCATTTTTGCAGTAGGAATAGATTTCCCTGCTGCCGTGTTTTTTGGCAAAGCAGACAGTGCAAGAGATAGAAATGACTATTATCCTCATCTGCTGTGTCATGTGCTCTTAACACTAATTTGTGTTTGCAGTTAAACTGCCTGGTGTAAGAACCTACATTGATCCCCATACCTACGAGGACCCTAATCAAGCTGTCCACGAGTTTGCCAAGGAAATAGAAGCTTCGTGCATAACCATTGAAAGAGTTATTGGAGCTGGTATGGAAATGAGTTTTGTGATCCCTAGCAGTGTGTAGGGCTGGCATTTATAACATTAGAAACCAGAAAAGGGCTGTGAAATATTTGTGCTGTTAGGCACTCTGCAAGGTATGTAGAGCGTACCCTTGTTTCAGTAGAAGCCAGGGACAAACCTGCCACTGTCTGCAATTTTTAATTTCAGTGACTGAGTTAAAAATGGCAGAAAACAGACAAGTTTGGACCAAGCTGAGTTACTTCTATGAATGCTAAGAGAAATGAATCACTTAATGTTCAGATTCTTTTGCACTACTTTCATCTTTTTCTCCTTGTTGATTAAAGTCAGTCTTGAAGCAAAAATTAAGATTGAAAGTTCATCTGAGATTTTTTAAAAAGGGGGAAGGGCAAAAACAAGCACAAACCAAGGTCCAAGACATTTAATTTCCGTGGTTAAAAGACTAAGTTTCCACTTCTGCTCAAGTTAAGCTGTGTGTTTGGATTCACATCCAACAGCGGGAATATCTGGCATCCTCTTATACTGTGTTTTTAAAGATAATTTACTGTTCACCTAAAATAACCATTTAGGCTACCTCTAAAAAAAGGTAGTTGTAAAATTGGAAAGAGTGCATAGTCCATAAAAGTATGTGTTGCTGTAAGAGGGTAACAGCATTCCATCTATTCAACTTAGCAAAGGAAGGTTAAGAAGCAACTGGTTTGTGTTTTACAGCTATCTACACAGAGCATTGATACAGGATATGACAGGAGTCTTTCATCTAGTAGGCAAAAATATCATGAAATGAGAAAAAGCCCAATGGAATATGGGGCATAGCTCTTTAAATTTAGGAAAATTACATACTGGAACAGCTCACCTTTAGAGTGGGATCAAACCCGTCACCAGGAGTGTTTCGTTCAGCTCTGGTTATCTTTCTAAAAGACTGAGATTTGCAGCTTCCTAGTTTTCTTGTGCTTATGGCGTGTGCTACACTGGCTGTTTGTGATGTTTATCACTGTGATGTTCTACTTTCCATATTCACAGATGTGGGACAGCCCTGGGTATTTTTGATTAGCTTTCTGTAGAAGATAGGCAATATCCGACAAACAGATACGTGCTCTGCATTCCTTAGGCATACTGTGATACTTTCTGATTTTTTTCTGAAGGTGAATTTGGAGAAGTCTGCAGTGGACGGCTGAAACTGCAGGGAAAACGTGAATTTCCAGTGGCTATCAAAACCCTGAAGGTGGGCTACACAGAGAAGCAAAGGCGAGATTTCCTGGGAGAAGCGAGCATCATGGGGCAGTTTGACCACCCCAACATCATCCACCTGGAAGGTGTTGTCACAAAAAGTAGGTGCAGACTGCTGCAGACTGCTGTCTTTGAACACTGGCTGATGGGAGAGGTAGGGGACGAAGCACTGGGTAACTCAGGTTGTCAGCGTGCACTTCGTTGTTTCTCTAAAAGCAGCAAACTCCCCTTGCCTGAAATTTCACATTTGGTAGATCTGGGAATGGAAATGATGAAAAATATTAACTCCTAAGGTGTAGTACATATGGGCTGAGAAAATCCCCATTCAAAGGTCTGAAGTTAAGGAAATGGGAGATTATATGCCTGGCTATGTGCAGGTGGAGTAGATGGTGGATACAGGAGTAAGGTTAGGATGCCTGAGGGCCAGCGGAGCGTGCTGCATGACTTCTGCCTTCCAAATAATTTGGTTGCATCCTCTGCATTAAATGAAGCCACGTGGGACCATTTTGAATGCCAGGATACCAAGCCTTCCCCTCAGTGCTTACAGAAGATTCACTTCCTATTCCTGCCTTTTTTTCTTTACTTTTGAGACCATACGAGCTCCAATGAGAGAAAAGAAATGCTGAGACGCAGAGAGCGATTTTTCTGACAGGGAAAGGTAGAGAATTTTGCTATCAAAAGACTGGGTAGTCAAACCAAATGATTTCCAGCCATCTTATTTTGAGAAGCCTCTGAAGCAAAGTGCTGGCAGAGGGTCATGATGGGACCTCATGATTGCTCACAGAGGATGTGAGCAAGAATGGAAGTTAGCTGAGGTGAGAGTGCAGGAAGAGTGCAGAGGTGTCACTGCTCTTCTGACTGGAAGCTTTAGAGGATCTGGAGGAGTGAGAGTGCGCATGCATGTCTTCCCACAAACAGATATATGGGTTCTCTCTAGCATTTCACAGTGTGCTTTATTTCAGCCCGATATTTGCCAGATAGAAATAAATGTGGCTAAGTTATTTGCATCAAAGGTTTTTTTGTGGGGAACAACTCCTTCAATTAAAATTATATTTCAAGTGTTTGGGGAAGTTTTTAGCTAGCCTGAGAGATGCTAGCCTCGCAAGTGTGAATGGCGGAAACCCCTTTTGCCTTTATGACTGGTAATGTTGGAACTTAGCCACTACCACTGAAATGCTGGTATCTGGGGCACATGGCTGCTGTTAGCACCAACCATCATTCACTGAAGGCATCTTCTCCAGATTCAGCTCTTTCTCAGAGCTACAGTGAAGATGCAGACATTGGCTGTCTGTCCTGTTAATATCATCATATCATCCTCTGAATTGATTCTAGTTTGCAGTCAAGAGCCTTGTCTTGCTTTTTTCTTTGAAATCGTATTTCTCAAAACTTTTAAGAAAAAAAATAAACAAAAATAGGTTTCTCTTACAAATAGATTTTATAAAGGCGGGGGAGAAAAAGTAGGGGATGAATTTGGCAACAATGTGTGTGCTTTCTCAGAGTCACAGCCTGTGCAACAGTTCTACCCCAGGGGTATGACCTTGCTGTGTGTCCTGATCTGAGGGGCATGTCCACTTGTGAGCCCATCAAAGCAGCATATGATAGTCTGACCCTGTACACTCAGCTGAGTGCTTCAAGTGGAAAGAACCAAATAAATGGAGAGGCCTGTGTATGGGACAAGGGGTGCATGTTAAGGTCTGAAGCTTTCGATGTTTAGGGGAATATGAAAGGGCAAATAGCTGAGCCTCACCACATCAGTCTTTCCTGGACAGAAAGTGCCCATTTCTAGCCCTGTAGGGATGAGGGCTTTTGGGCAGGAAGTGAGTGATGTTCTCACAGCCATAAAAGCTGCTGCTGACATGGGTGTGAGTCTTTCTGCTGTCAGGGCCAGATGGGTGGGTTTCTCACTTAGAGAGAAGATGTGGCTCTCCCCAGCAAGCAGGTTTTGCTTAAAGGAGCCATCAGATTCAAAGGCTGTGGTAGTGCTGAGGGCTTTACAGCTTAAGAGCTCTGGATTTGTTCTGGGAACTGAGCTGGGAATAAATGGCGAAGGGGAGCTGAGAAAGGCAGTAAGTGCAACCATATGGCCTGGGCTGTTGTGTTGTGTTGGAGGCAATGCAACAGTGTTGAACGACTGGTGGCTCTGGATTTCAGACGCTTTTCTCAAAGATGAGGCAAAAACAGTGCAGAGAAGGAAGGAGTGCTTCACTTTCCCAGGTTTCCAGAGGTTGAGGTATCTGAGGCAGGGTAGATCCAGTTGTTGGCTGCCTGCAGGGGTCTGAGCCCTAGAAACTGAGGAGATGGCTCTGCCGACTCTGTGCCCTGAGTTCTTCTGGCCAGTGCCCTCTAATGTCTGTACCTGTAGGTGTTTCCTTTGCAAACATGTAATCCCAAAACCGGGATGGGTGTTTGGGAGTGCTGTCTCCCTCCTGAGGTCCTTAGCCCCCAGCTTATATCTCAGGTAGCTCTTCCTCCATTAGTGCTGCTGGAGCTGTTCTCCTTTACACATTACGTTTGCTTATTTAATTCAGTTTTCATTGAGCCTGAGGAGGGGAGACTCAGCAGTTACTCAGCCCACCTCTTCTCCAGTCCTCTTCCAAAGTAGACTGAAGTTTTCCATATGAACTGTGGCAGCTTTTCAGGGAGGAGTCAGGAACCCTTTTTCTCCTTGCTGGAGCAGAGCAACTTCTAAATTGGACTTGGAGCAAATGGACTTTGAATGTACCAGAACAATTTTATAAATCCCAGACTATGATGCTATCTCTGAGTACTTTTTAACTTCTCTTCCCATTTAGCAACTGAGTCGCTGCCCTATCGTAGATACGGAACTTTAGTGTGAAACATCTTTGATGCATCCTGATTTAGTTCAGAAATAAATTAAGTGAAACTGAATTAGTCCGTTCTTAATTTTGAATGAGAATATTCATGCATAGCCTCAATGCCATTTAACTAATTACTTCAAATGCCCACCTTTAGATAACTTGGATTAATGGTCTTCATTGTGCCCATGCAGACAAGCCCTTAGCTATTTCTGCTTTACAGAGGCAGCAGTCCCTCTTTCATTAGCATTCCATTTCATTGCTCTGACAATGTGTACATGGGTAGGAATGACATCTGCACGCATTTTATGGCCCCGAACCACCAGCGGGAGGGAGCCCTGCTGACAGAGAATCAGACCAGCACATTAAAAGGGCCAGTGTTTACTTTTAATTTACTTTGGTTAAAAGTTACTCTGTTTGTGTCCTTATTTCCATGCTCTTGGATACGGGACTAATTTATTTCACAATTAGTGTCAACCTGCTGCTGTCAGATAATGAAACATAAGTGCAGAGATCTTCTTTTATTTTCTCAGATGGAAACCCAAGGTGGGATCCTGCAGGAGGTCCCTCGGGGCGGTGGGGTGATGAGATGCCAGTCTCGCTGCAGTGCTGCCTTTATGTGTCAGAGATAAGGGCCCCATCCTGCAGTCGCTTTGCAGCAACTCATTAGACTGGGCACATCAGAAATGGCAGCATGCTCTCTGTGGAGATTGTATGACAGGTGGCTTAAAGAATCCAGGTTTTACCTTAAATCACTCATCAGTGATGCAGAGAAACACCTTGCCAACGCACATACAGTCAAACAGCAGCATCTTCACTTCACTGCTTCTCGGTTTTTCCCCACTGAAAACAAAACAAATGAAAGAACCCCATTATCTTTTGAAAACTAACATAATGGGAATCTGCACTGTTGAGAGCAGGGGCAAACTTTTCTGTAAGAAGCAGACGTGCATTTGAAAGTTCACGTCCATGTGGCTGGCTGCAACTGTTCTGGCACCAGTGCCAGCACTTCCCTGTCTGGCTCTGCTATCTACATGCATCACCATGCTGTGTTCATGCAATCCCAGAATGCTTTTTTAGTGTAAAAAGAGAGTGTGTATGTGGGATTTTCCTCCACAATCACAGGGTCCATTCTGTGCATCGAGCTCTGCACGGACTCAAGTCTGCCATCCTTGAAGACAAAGCTTGCAGTGTTTGGGACACATGATATTATTATTCCTGGCCCCAGGGTGCAGCTCTCTTTTCAAAAATAATACTTCTGGCAAGCTCTGAGCTCAGACAATAGCTGCGATAAGAGCTGAAAAAATGGAAGCAGTGCAAGTCCCTTTTGCTACATAGGTAGGATCTGCACAACAGCAAGAGTTCTGATTGACAAGTTCACAATTATCTTTATTATGTAGATAATTAAACAGTAAATTAGGCAAATGGTTAACATAGTGGGAAAGTGGGAAGATTAAGATCGGTCTTAATGGTAGAATATGAACTGATTTTAAGAGCATTTACCTCCGTGTGCGTGTTATGACATGTGGCAGCTCTCCTTGATCGTTTCAACAAAAGACACTTATAATGCACTTTACAAATAACTGACAGCTCCTCTTTTGTCTGTGCTTCATGCTAGCTAATGCAAATTGATTTAAATAAAAAATAATTTACATGTTCTTATAAGATTTCATTGAATTTACAAGGGCTGGAGCACACCACATTAATTATTGCTATGCTACTGTGGCAAGCTAGCGAGAAATTAGATATAAAAACTGAGCAAAAACTATATATATAATTACCATTAAAATGACTCGGGCATGAAAATTAATCAAATGGATTTCGAAAAACATTATTATTCCTGTCAACAATAGGAGGCCAGGTCTTTTGTTAAGAACTTTTGTTTTGATCCTTTTTTTTTTCTAACTACTTCACTGAATCAATACAGTACACATCTTGGGAAGAGATCTTGTTATTATTTAGGGAAGGTGAAAAAGAATCGGCACAGCAAAGAGCTTCCTGAAATTGTAATTGCAGTCAGGCTGCTGGTGCTTCCCTGCATGCAGGCTCGGCACTGGTATTAACCCAACATCTGCCCCACGGCAGGCTGTGCCCTCCACTCTGGGCTGTAGCCAAAGGAGGGAGTAGGAGCTCCGTGCCGGCACCAGGGAGCAGTGGGTGTCCCAGCACATCCACCAGGAGTGGGATGCACAGAGGTCAGCGTGGAGCTGGAGAAAGGGCATCTGATCCCGTTCTGGGGGGCTGATTGACAGCTTTGTTCTTCTTGTACACTGAAACCTCCTAATTTCCACTGCCACTCGCTCTGTGCTTATTTGCTTTTGTCCTGCAGCATTAATATTCCTTTTCATATTTCAGATGTACTTACGGGGATGGTCACATGGGATTTCTTGAAATACACAGGATGTAATCCCATCCTTTCCTAGCCTTGATGATTATCACACTCAGATAGAGACTTCAGATCATTCTGGTTGCTCCCGTTGGACGTGTGTAGTTTCTTCAGAGTGTGGAGGCTATAGTATTGGCTCTGCTGGGGCAGCTGTCAGGACTATGAGAGTTCAGCTTGTAACCTCTTTCACAAAAGCCATCTAAACACTCTAGGATTTGCTCCCCATCCGTGACTTGGGATCACCTTTTCTCCCCTTCCTTGATCCCCCTGTCTCTGTGTACATGTGGGCAAGAAGTGTGATATTCTGTGGATCCAGTGGCTGCTCAGTTTAGATTTACTATTGCGTGACTACATATTCACATTCAGAAACATTATGAAATGACTTTATTTTTGTTGTTATTGTTGTTGTTTTTAATAGATTGCTACTAACAATCTTGCACACTTGTTTGTTTTTTTTTCCAGGCAAACCTGTAATGATAGTAACGGAATACATGGAAAATGGTTCTCTGGATACATTTTTAAAGGTAATGCTTAGAGACTTGCTCCAGAGGGGCTAGGATTAAGTTTGTGTTCTTTGCAGAAAGTTAATATCAACAAAAATGTTTGCTGGGTGCTGGTCCAGCCATTACTGCAGTCTGGAGGCAGAATTAGCTCAGTTATCTGCTTGGTCTGTATTTAAGCAGTCTCGTGAAGACATGGTTCATGCACTGATACAAGCAGATAACAGTAAACTGTAGAATGTTGTGTTTGTTCTAAAGAGCAGAGTGCTGTGTGGACTCATTCATCCTGCCAAACTTCTTGACACATCCATACTGCATCGTGGCAAAAACCAGGCAATGTCAAAGCTTTTCATGAGACCTCCTTGAGAAGACGGAGGAAACAGTTAGAAATGCAGCATAGTAGCATGGGGAGAGCTCCTGCCCCAAATATTGACACGTGGACTTTTGCAGGTAGGATTTATAAGCAACTTGGCGCCTCTCAGTCGGCTGATTCAGAGATAGTCCATCCTGGTGTTTTTATACATGTTCTCTCCCTGAAGCAATCTTTTCATCAGTCACCATTGGAAATAGCTTGCTGCTTGATCTCCAGTTAAAAGAACTACATTTCCTTAGCTTTGTCTCTAGAGATGCTTATCCAAACAATGAAACTTTGAAAAGCTTCATGGTCAGAGCATGAGAGTAATGAATTATTAATTTCCCTGTTTTTCTTCCCTAGAGACTCGCCTTTGCATTTTTATTTGTGCACGTGCAATGCTGAGGGTGCAGAGACTTTCATCTGATCAAATGTCTCCTTCCCTTTGCAGAAGAACGATGGGCAGTTCACGGTCATTCAGCTGGTCGGGATGCTGCGAGGCATCGCATCAGGGATGAAGTACCTGTCTGACATGGGTTACGTACACAGAGACCTTGCTGCCAGGAATATCCTCATCAACAGCAACTTAGTGTGCAAGGTATCTGACTTTGGCCTCTCCAGAGTCCTAGAAGACGATCCTGAAGCAGCGTATACTACCAGGGTGAGTTATATCATAGAATCAGCACAGAATTGAGCAGTGGATGTAGTCTACCTTGATTTCAGCAAGGCATTTGATACTGTCTTCCACAACATCCTTATAACAAAGCTGAGGAAGTGTGGGAGAGATGAGTGGACAGTGAGGTGGGTTGACAACTGGCTGACTGGCAGAGCACAGAGGGTCATCGTTGGCGGTGCAGAGTCCAGTTGGAGGCCTGTAACCAGCGGTGTTCTTCAGGGCTCTGTACTGGGTCCGGTCTTGTTCAACATCTTCATCAATGACCTGGATGAGGGGATAGTGGCCACCCTCAGCAAGTTTGCTGATGATACGAAGTTGGGAGGATTGGCTGACACGCCTGAAGGCTGTGCTGCCATTCAGCAAGACCTGGACAGGCTGGAGAGCTGGGCAGTAAGAAACCAGATGAGGTTTAACAAAAGCAAGTGTAGAGTCTTGCATCTGGGGAGGAATAATTGCATGCACCGGTACAGGTTGGGGGATGACCTGCTGGAGAGGAGCTCTGCAGAGAGGGACCTGGGTGTCCTGGTAGATGACAGGTTGGCCATGAGCCAGCAGTGTGCCCTTGTGGCCAAGAGGGCCAATGGCATCCTGGGATGCATTAAAAAAAGCGTGGCCAGCAGGTCGAGGGAGGTGATCCTCCCCCTCTGCTCTGCCCTGGTAAGGCCTCATCTGGAGTACTGCGTCCAGTTCTGGGCTCCCCAGTACAAAAAAGACAGGGATCTCTTGGAAAGAGTCCAGCGGAGGGCCACGAAGATGGTGAGGGGCCTGGAGCATCTCCACTATGAGGAAAGGCTGAGTGATCTGGGTCTGTTCAGCCTTGAGAAAAGAAGACTGAGAGGGGACCTGATCCAAGTCTATAAATATCTAAGGTGTGGGGGGCAGAATGGCAAGGCTGGACTCTTTTCAGCAGTGTGTGGAGACAGGATAAGGGGTAACAGCCAGAAACTGCAGCATAGGAAGTTCCGCACAAATGTGAGGGTGACGGAGCACTGGAACAGGCTGCCCAGGGAGGTGGTGGAGTCTCCTTCTCTGGAGATATTCAAGACCTGCCTGGACACCTACTTGTGTGACCTGGTGTAGGGAACCTGCTTTGGCAGGGGGGTTGCACTCGATGATCTCTGGAGGTCCCTTCCAACCCCTACGATTCTGTGATTCTGTAATCATAGAATTGCTCAGGATGGAAAAGACCCTCAAGATCAAGTCCAACCACAACCTAACCATACTACCCGTACTCTAAGAACCCACTGCTAGATCATGTCCCTGAGCACCACATATGGGAATACTGAACAGACTGAGTCCAAGAAAAATGTGCTTCCTGACACATTTTGGTAGTCAGGCCGTTTGGCAAAGAGGTTTCTACAAGTCCACAGGCCCCAAACTAGGTATGAGTGTTTGACCAGATGTTGTCAGCTAATCAGTATTGGATCAGTCTATACCTTAGAAGCAAGAATGGCCAAATAAAGCAGAACTTAATGGCAGTCTCATAACTTAGAGGTTTTGTGTTGGGCACCAGAGTCAAATAACAAACTTTCTAAAGCTGCTGCACTCCCAGCTGTATTTTGCCATCTTTGGTGAATACCTAAGGTCAGAAGGACCGAGAGTGGCGCCCGTAGTGGTCTCCTGGATAGTTCAACTCTTAAAACTGGCAAGCACATAATGTCTTTTGCTAATGTGATGTGTTTACCACCTTCCTCATCAACACTAATTTTCCCAAACTTGAGAAAGGGCTGCTCCAGTCTGTGGCAGGAATCATCCATTCTGGGCATCAGTTCACCTGTGTCAGGCAGGTGGGCAGCACCCATTCCCAGCATCACAGGTCCTGGAGAAAGCTTCAGTTGACAGCTGACAGTGTGTCAGGTTGGCACGCTCCAACACATTATTATTAACACATTTTTCCACGGGTATTGTGATGGGAGCTCCCTGGGTCACATTCCCCGGTCCTGGAAAGATTTTGCTATTTGGGAGAGGCTTTTCAGCTCTTGGCAGTCACAGTCCCATGATGGGGCTCAGAGCACTGCTGGACCAGAGCTTCCCTGTAGGCTGAAGGGCTCTCATCCAGCCCTGCTGTGACTGCAACTTGCTGCTGTGTGCTAATTGGCACTGCAGAGAATCTGGCCCTTCACTTAAGGCATGCACTGATAAGCCTGTGAATAAATGATTATTGGAAGAAGGAACTTTTCTAATTTGCTTTTTAAATGTGTTCCAAATTCTACCTTTTTCTAATAACAAACAGCATTAGGGGACATTCGAGGAGATTTTCCAACATGCAGCTCAGCACAGAGGAAAGGACTTCACAGTAAGATATATTTTGATATATATCAAGGGAGACAAGTCTTTAAACCCAATGAGAAAAGTATTTCTTAATCCAAACTCCCCTTCCCCCCCTTCCTTCTCTCAGAGCTGGTCTGAAGTTTGATTCCTAAAATCAAAAAGAGGAAAAGGAAATAGCAAAGAGCATTTGACAGCTCTCCCTGTGCTAGAGTAATAGTATTTGTAAAATAAATGCAATAAAAGATAAACCACAGTGATCTGTGGGAGGTGACATCGTTTTCAGTCCCGCAGCCAAGGCCAGGCAGGCAGGTCTTTGCGCGCACAGATTTCTGTGCCCACTGTGCAGATCTCTCTGCAGGATTGGGACTGCATTGAGGGGAAAAAAAAGGCATTACTTCCGCAGCAATTTGCATGAAGCTCTCATTAGATCAAAGTCTTCCCCGGCTTCAGAGCTGTCTGTTCCTCCCCCGCTCGCTCTTAGAAATGGAGGAACTGTATTCCCCTACCAACCAGTGCAACATAATTGAGATGTTGATCCTATACATGTCCCAGCATTCAAACAGCATTCAAACAACAAACCTTCAGGACAGCCAATTAGTAGGCAGCCTACAAATGCTTATGGGCTGAGATAATGTGGAAAGGGGCCCCATGCTGTCAAACAGATTTACTTTAAAATTCGATGTCTCTTTCCAGAGAGAAAATAACATCCCTCAGTGCTCTAAGGAGTGCTGTTTTGTCCTCTTTTGTATGCTATCTGCCCTCTTCTGCAATCTGTATTTTTTTTTCATCCCTTCTCATTGCAGGGAGGGAAGATCCCCATCCGATGGACGGCACCTGAAGCAATTGCCTTCCGCAAATTCACATCAGCCAGCGATGTGTGGAGCTATGGCATTGTGATGTGGGAAGTGATGTCCTATGGCGAGAGACCTTACTGGGAAATGACAAACCAAGATGTAAGCACGTGTGGGAGCTGCCACGTGGAGGGACTTGAGGGTTTAGTCTTCATTCTGCAATCAGAGAGGGAGGATGGGGACAGGGGAGGACAGCCACTGTAAAAATGTCTTTCTCCCCGTGCCAGACCTAAGCAGTCCTCCCATTTGATGGGATGCTCTGTTTTTGCAGCAGCCCAGAGCAGGCTGTGTGCAGAGGGAAATGTGTCTGCACAGAGGCAAGCCTGGTTCCCGTGGAAGCCTGCTGGAGCTTCACTAATGCTGTTAGAGCTGGAGACTGTCCCTGCTCTGCTTAATGACAAAGGTCTGCCAGGGGATAGATGCTGATAACTGGCAGCATTTCAATTGTGTGTTCAAACCCCTGCTGCCATGTAAAGCAGAAACTCAGGAGAATCATGGTAAGGGCTTGTTTTGCTGTACAAAAGCTGTGTGATTTGATCAAGTGATAGCAGTCCAAAATGGCAGCGCGGAGAGCTGCATCTCAGTCATCCTTGCATTGCTGATCTCGAGAACATGGTTCTGCACCTTTTTTTTTCTTTTCTTTCTCTCTCATCCTTTGCTTTCTCTAATTGTGAAAGTCTGTAAGTCTGTGTTAATGCAAGCTCTCATTTTCTTGTGCTCATTTGCTTGTGCTTAACGTGTGTCATCTTGCTCCTGGGCCCCAGCACCTCCTCAAGGCTTTGACTTCAGGGTCACTCTCAGACGCACCCCTAAACATGCCTGGGGACACTGCCACCCTCCTTACTCTAGTTCTTGTCCCACACTGCGTAAGGATCTCGTGTTCTTACTGCAAGACTTCTTTGTACCCTGAGTTCACCACATGCATCTGTCTAAAGCTAAAAGAAAAAAAAAATTAAGCCTGAATTTGCCAGATTTTCCTGGGCTGCTTCTTCCTATTCACATCTCTGAGAAGTATGAGATCTGGAAGTCTCTCAGGATGCCATCTTGTGCATGAGCAGGGGGCACCATGCAGCAGCACACCAGGCCCCAAAGCAACTCTGTGATGGAGGAAAATGCAGCGATTCTGCATATGGCAAAGAGCCCTTTCTCATCACTGCTGCTTTGATTCTCCATCTCCACACCTGGGGAAGTGATGCCACTGGCTGAATGGACAAACAGCCTTGCTCTGCCATGAACTTCCTCAGTCACAAACACAACACTTCATGTTTCATCCTTTTTTTCCTGCACATATGTATTTTAATTCATTTTGAGCAGTGTCTCTGTCCCTTTGACATTCTGCTGTTTTGCTGGCAGCAGAGGCTCTGGCTGAGCTGTCTGTGTCTCCTCTGTTTTGTCTGGGTGCCTCTGCCATTGGTGAATGTGACTGCCTGCCATGCTGTCTCGTCTTGACTGCTCACCTCCAGCCCAGGCAAGAAAACATGTGGTGCCTTTGAGATGCTAACACTGCCCTGCTTGCCAGGGGGACAAATGTTGTTTAGCATGAATGCCCCACTGCTTCTACACCACTGAGGTTGTCATGTTTGTAGGGAGTTTGGTAAAGCGGCATGTATCTACTCAGGGATTTATCCCTTTGTATCAAATACAAAGGCTTTCTTTTGTACCCTGGATGGAGAATGCAGCAATTTAGAGCCGAGCTTTTTCAGACACACTAAACACTCTAACTATCTAATGGTGATGCACCAGTGTAGTACAGATGTTCAGTAAATGTCAGGCTGAGATTCGGGCTGGTGCCAGTGAGATAACGCTCTGTGGCCAGGGGAATCCCTTGTCAGGTTAGTAACACTGTCAGCACCAACAATTTGCAGAACTGTTGAATTAAAATAAATACCACCTTGTCCATCCTCTGGGCATAAGGTGAATTTCACATCTGAGGAGAGTTGGCTGGGGAAGCGCTTTCTTTGACAGTAGAAAGCAGAACACTGGTGAGATGTTCATGAGCATCAGTTCCTGATCAGGTTTTGCTTGGGTTCTTTTTCTCCCTGTAGCATGTGCAGACAGTAAATGCCTCAATGGTGGCAGTCTAGAAAATTTAACTCCGTGCTGTGGCAGAAAAATATTTCTCCTTGTATTTATTCCTCCTTCTTTCATCCCCTGAAGGCCCATTGTCTTTCTTTTTTCCTCCCCTGCTTGTGTTGGCAAAAGAATCATCAGTGTTAGATGTAGCATTGGTGGAGGTCTGGTGAGCTCTGCTCACGTGAATTTCAGACTCCATTGCACAAGAGTTTTTTGTGTGGTTTATAATTAAAGCATGTTATGTGCAGGCACAGTCAGCAGTGAGCAAAACGGTTCTCACCATGTTTCAGCCAGGCTGGTTTCCCCTGTGGTAGAGGGGATGCAGTGCCACAAAGCAGGCAGTGTTGTAACTTCAGTGCTACAAACCACGTTTTAAAGTCATGATGATGACTGCACAGCTTTCTAAAAATAAGTTTTGAACCACAAGAGAAGGCTCAGTACAGGAATTGAGGGGAATTTTGTGACCTGTTTTAGGATGGTAAGTTAAATGATTGTAGTGGTTGCTTTTTAGTCTTCACAGTAGCAGTTTTGTGAAAACAGGGGACTATGAATGCTACTTGGTTTACGAGGATAGACTATCTCAGGTTTTCACCTTCCAAAAATCCCTAGCGTCATCATCCCATCCTTAAATACATAAATGCTTCTCCAGAAAAAGTAATGGGACAAACATGTCTCCTCACGTATGCAAGTTTTAGCTCTTCAAGTCTTAAAAAGCAGTACTTCCCAATGAACAAAATGGCAAATCTGCCTTTTTTTTTTTTTTTTTTCTAAGTATTGCAGTTGCTGCAAGTGACTTAGTCTTTATTGCATCATTCTTTTACTCCTGTTACAGCCAGACCCTGAAGGCACCTTCAGATGCAAGAGCAGAGATCAGCTCCCAGCCCTTGCAGTATTTTGATACCATTTACATTGTATCACCAGAATGAATGACATCCTGTAAATTGAGTTAATGCTATTGATTGTGATGTTACTGCCCGGAATATAAAGCATGCATAACCCCATTGCAGATGTAGTTCAGATATTCTGAGCTGGTGCCAGATGGTCTGCTACCTGTCTTGGTACTATTTTCTTTCTGCTACAGCTGGAGGAAAATCCATTATTGTTATAAATACAGCAAATAATCTTCTCATAGCTGTGCCAGACAGAAACTTTTTATAAGGCAGTTGTAAATCCAGGGCCAGGGACCAGCTGAAATGCATGATGTGAAGAATAGACAAAGCAGATAGTGCAGCATAGTGGGCCTGGTGTTTGATGCTGTGAGCAAAAGCCAGTATAGTAGTCCAGCAGTAGACAAGATTACTTTATAGACAAAGGTTGGGTGGAGAGCGGTGCAACTGCTCCACCCGCAGATGGAATCTTAGATAAGCCTCTGTCAGAGCACAGAAGGATTGCAGGTGTTGTGGACCAGATATTCAGGCTGCTCAGTATCCTTTGAGAAGAATACAAAGCCTCAAAACATTTCTTCTCTACTACATATGTCCTTAGAGGGTTCCAGGTTTCTGCTAACGCTGCTCAGCCAGCCCCGTTCATGCCTGGGACTATTCCACTTGGCAAAAAACTCAGTGGTGAAGGATGATTTGAAAATGATGCATGCGGTCCTAAATTTTGGAGCCTCCAGGAGTGCAATGCTAACCATAGAGCATTTTTTTTAATCACAAGATGTTTTCAAATTGTGAGAGTGCCTAGAATGAATGGTATTTGAGGCAGTCCTTGGAAACGTTGTGGTTTTCCACACAGTATTCACCATCAGCAATAGCTGCTTCCAGCTTCTGTTGAGCAGTAAGTCTTGGGAGCAGAGGATGTGAAGATGGGCCGCTCGGACTCTGCTGACACGGTCGCAGACCCTTGTGGCCTGAAATGAGAGTTGTGTTCTCCTGAATGCTGCTAAGGGTTCAAAATGGGAACTACTGGGCTAGGAGCCCTGCTGTAAGTCTGTCCAAAATGAAGGAAAACAAGTTGCTTTATTCAATTCTGCCCTCATTTGTTCATTTCTGCCTTTCCAGAGCGCAGGCAGCACATGTGTTTATCACTTGTTTTGGATATAGAACCATAGATGGTTTGTATTTGGAATCAGTGCAACAAACTTCCCCTGTTTTTAATTTACATACTCTTAGGCTGACATTTTAAATTCCTGGCAGAAACGTGGACACAGTAAGAAACGACTAAACCCAGACAGTATTGAATGATATATGAGATGGTTGTTCTGCCTCTGCCTCTGCCTTGAATCCATCCATCAATTAGCATTCAAAGTCTCTTTTGAAATACAGTCAGACTTTTATTACTGTAATACAAATCTGTGGTTGAGCACATGCCTTTTCATTTAAAAAGAAGCCAACATCTGAATAAACAAAATCACTGTACTGCAAGACAATGCCAGAAAGCCCCATAAGCTGCTGTTGGCAGACAAGAACAGTCTCTAGTTTTCTGGTGTGACCTACAGACCTCAGCTGAGCTTTGAACAAGTGCAACCTGAGATCTGACCTTCTGGTTACATTGGATTTCTAGACTCATTTTGCAGTGACTAAAAATCAATTATTCAACCTATGCCATAGCAGCAGTGAAAGATAATGGAGTTTACTTGATTTGTCTCGTATTTGCAGAGAGTGGGGGATTGGTTGTATGTGAGCGTATTGCTGGACCCAGAGTTCTCTATTTAAACCGATTTATATTCGGGGAAAAAGGTAAGAGGAAGAGAAGAAAAGCAACCCATCAGCCTTGTGTTTTACTTCCCATAGGTGATTAAAGCCGTGGAGGAAGGCTATCGCCTGCCAAGTCCCATGGACTGCCCTGCTGCTCTCTACCAGCTGATGCTTGACTGCTGGCAGAAGGACCGCAACAGCAGGCCCAAGTTTGATGAAATTGTCAGCATGTTGGACAAGCTCATCCGTAACCCAAGCAGCTTGAAGACATTGGTTAATGCATCGAGCAGGTACAAAATCAGGCCAGAGCCATTTCTCAAAGAAAGATTCTTATCTGAATGCTGATTCCTGGTGTAGAATTTCTCTTTAGCCTACATGCATCTGCAGGTGGATGTTCCTCTGTTTCATTATGTCCAAGAGAGTTTTCCCAAAACCAACTTTCTCTGTTTAAATTGGCAGGCCAGTCAGCAATTCAGTAACTCTATAAATGTAGAGCCACTGCAGCAAAGAAAATTACTGTGGCCTGCCTTTTAGAAACTGCAGTTTCAGCAGTATTTATAGGTCTATGATAAAGCTACCTGCGCTCTACCCCAAGGTGAGCGAGAGCAAGACTGAGTCTGTGAAGTAGATAGTAAACACTGCTCAAATTATCTGCCTGTTGACTTTATCTTTGTAATACGAATGAGAAAGTCTCTTGGGAAAATGCTGGATGTGCAAAGCTCATGGATGTCTAAGTGCATCTTCCCAGAAGCATTCCCAGGTGTGTTAGCTGCCACCTCCAGTTCCAACAGTTTTTGTAATTGTGAGGGGATCTCTGTGGTTCCCAAAGAGTTGTACACAAGCAGTTTGCTAAAACCACGTTAAGTGAATGAGGCAGCCAGTCTGCAATTCAGTGTGAATTTCAGCAGCTACACAGCTACAAATAAGGGAAGTATGTGTCAAGAAATAAAACTCCACTTTAGAAAAAAAAAAATGGAGAGATTAATTTTTTTTTAGTGAGCTTTGGTAGCAGTCTCTCCACCATACTGGAGTCTTGGAGAGGCTTTTGTAATTTCAGTGTAAGCACACAAGTACTACTTCTGAGCCATCTGTGTTGCTAATCACTCAGTCTCTCGCATGTTCATGTAGGAGTAATGTATATAAATCCTTGCTGCTTACCTGATTGGTGGCCGTGGAGCTCCCTTATTAATGCTGGAAAAGGCCCATCAGAAAAACTTATTCTCAGAGGACAAAAAAATGAAATAAAAGGAACAACATGTCCCAGTGCATGACATCTCCATCTCACACTGAAAGAGAATAAACATGAAAACTTTACATAGTTTCATTTTTAAATACAAAATAGATCTGATTGTTCAGGCTATTTCACATGCATCATTAGCCACATGAATAAGAAATTGAAGAAAGACTCTTATTAGCAATTAGTTGTAATGTTAGCCCCAGCAAACCTGCAGGAACATGTTTATGATAGCACAAAATGTGATGTTTCTCTTTAATTTTCAGTTCAGAACAGTCATTTTCAAGGCCAGTTACATGGTGATATGTACTGTTATATCAACCTGTTAGGCTAGAAAAGATTAAAATAGGCAGTAAACCATCTCCTTGGGCTGTTAAACACTTTGCTGATATTTTATTCCACTGACAGGCCCTTGCAATTCCAAACTTCTCCTTTTTAAAGGTGCTGTGGGTATATTCTGTGTGCATGGAGTCTGTGAACAGCCAGGCTTTGGGGCTGTGTTTCTATAATCATAGATTTCCATGCCCAGACCATAGTAATTCCAAATGAATCATAATTTCGAAGTGCAGCAGCTGTAAAGGATTTTTTAAATATATGTAATGTATTCTTTATGGAAATTCTCATTAATGCAAATAAGGGAGGAAGTCACTCTCTACATTACAGTGCATGCATATCAGTAGGTGCCTCCTGACATTAGTGTTGAAAATCCACTTCTCATTATGATTACTTAGGAGTTTTGAATTCCTCATGTGTATAAAATGTTATGGGAAGCCATTATGCTCTTGGTACTGCAAGTATTCACATTTTATTGGACCCTTCAGCATTGCTATTAAATAAACAAATAATACTAATGTGATCATAAAATATATGAAGATTCCTGAAGTGCTATAACAATATAAAATCTTAGCTCTCCTTTGAGTTGAAAATCTTTCAAGCATAATTCTCACAGTCAGAGGCTGACCCAGCAAATGTTTTTACCTGTGGGTAATAATCTTTATGCAAGGCTTATGTTAACTATGGCCTTGGTTTACAAAACGGGAGAAATCTGGTTGCTTTCCTGGCTGACCTTGAACAAGTCTGTTTGTGCTCTGCGCATCATCAGTGACGTGGTGGGCCTGCTCACAACACAGGTTACTTGTGCCAGGTTTTAGAGTGGCAAAGGGTTGTTATTTGCCTGAATTGCTTCTTCTTTGCATGACAGAACCAAGCAGGTAGCAGTTGCTGCACAGAGGTCCGAGCGAGGCTGCAGGAGCCAGGATTCTCGCTCTGGTTTCAGGACTAAACGTGAGCCTCGCCAGGGGGCTGACGCATGGTTGGAGCATTGCTGCTCTCTGCAGGGCTTCTTGGATGCTGCCTGCATACAAAATCCTGGCCTGACTGTGGGAGCAGCCCTTGAAGTGTTAACAACAGCCTGCCGCTGATGGCTGCTGCTGGGAAATGTAATTTGGGTTTCGGTTTCCAGTCTCTGGGTTGTTTTAAGTTAATTATAAGCTTTAAAGAAAGAGGAGAAGAACAGAGCAGGAAGAGTGAAACTGAAGACCTTGAAGTAAGAGTGACAGGGAGAGCGCTGTGGAAAAGGAGCCTGCTTGTGTGTGAGGGGTAATGGGGATGGACACTAATCTGCTCCTCTGTCGAAGCAGATACTTCCCACTCGCAGTGTGCACCAGCAATGGCAGCAACTCAAAAGCAAGCGAGGTTACAGGTGAGACTTTGTGGCCCATGCGTTGTGAAGTCTTGCCTAACTAATTCTTCATGATCTTTTCATTCTGCTAAGATGGTTGGTAGTTTTGAAAGCTTTTACGCTACTCTTTCTGAAAACTGAAATAAAACTGAAAATTTGGGAAATCTCACACAGAGCTCAAAAAGCGTGTGCTTCTCTCCTCCTCATTTAAGTTGCACTGCACTTCCAGGGTAAAGTCAACAAGTTCCAATGAGTCAGAAAAATTACAGCTCCACAGGAGGAATTGGGATTTAGCAATTACTCAGAATACCACAGAAGAGCAATTGTGTCATGTTGGCTACATCTTGATACTGATTCTTTTTACTTCTCTGTCTTTCCTTTTGTCTTTAGAGTATCAAATTTGTTGGTGGAACACAGTCCAGTGGGAAGTGGTGCCTACAGGTCAGTGGGTGAGTGGCTGGAAGCCATCAAAATGGGCCGATACACCGAGATTTTCATGGAGAATGGATACAGCTCAATGGATTCCGTGGCTCAGGTGACCCTGGAGTGAGTAGTTTCCAGATCATTTTCACCTCTTGTAATTGCAGTTGGGGAGGAAAACAAACTTCAAAAATATGTAGAGAGGAGACTGAAGAAAGGAAACCGTTTCCCTTTGTTTGCAGTCATCCGTTTCTCTTTTAGTATCTGTATTGATGACAACAAGTGCAGACGAGTCTAAAACTTACTGTCACTATGCTGGGAAGCCAGTACTTTGGCATCTTTACTCACAGAAATTAATGCTTGAGTTTGAATAATTGACAAGCTGTCCTCTCATCATAGCAGCAGTTTATTACTCAGGGTTATCAATAAATAAAAAAATTAGCTTACTAGTAAATGTATAGGAGATAGAGGCCCCTCTGAAGTATACTGGCTTTACACTGCATTAGCTGCTTGAAGAGTTGATCCAGATGTAGCTAAGTGCACAGTCAAGCCTAGAAAAGCATGGAAACAGTTTTCAACATTACTGCAGTAGAAATAGGAGTAGGTGCAGCCAATGCCAACTGAATACCATCGACAAACCAGTGGCTCTAAGGGACAGGTCCCTGGCCAGGACTCTTCCTTCTGCGTGTGCTGTTGGTTTTTGCACCTGGATATATCTGTGGTCAGGGCGACAGCACTGAAACAATTTGATAAATGCCTCGAGGCTGCTGGTTTGCTGTGCTCCACCATTAATTGCTGGTCATGTGTAATTGTCTGTAGTTTCTTCCTGACACTTAATCAAACTTGCCCTAAAGCCTGCCTTTGCGACTGGACTAACTTGAGCTTAGGTTGTTACAGACATTGGGGCAGAATGGCAAAGATTATGCTCCATCCTTGGTGCTTCTTTGGAAGAGGTAATGAGTCTTCTGACTACATGCAGATCACCAGTGCACTGGCAGAATCAGTGCAGAGGATTAGGAATAAAACAGGAAAAATCCCAGTACCCTAGAGAACCACATCATTTTTCCTGTCTGCTACAGGGCTTGCTGTGGAGCTCACCCTTCAGGGTGAGAGTTCCTTTGCACATGTTGCAGGTTGGTACCACCCCTATACAGTTCAGTTTCAGTTTTAATTGGACAAGTCGCGTATGGATGGAGTGCAAAAATATCTCTCCTCTCCCTGATTTTATTTACTTCATCCACTTGACCTGTATTTGTCCCTTACTCCTGCCTAATTTCAGGTACTTGCTTGAACCCCCAAGTGAGAAAGTAAGTCTTTTCTAGTGACTAAGGAACCTTAGATTTCTTTTTAGTTCCTTTTTCGGATTCCTGAAACTATTACATGCATTTGGTACTGCATTTGGACTCTACACACTTTGACTGAGGTCCATTGCCAAGGCAGACAGGGAGATCTAGCCAGAGGATGGGTGATGAGGATAGGAAGAGGCAGTAACGTAAGAGAAAAGCAAAAGGGGAGCATTCCCCTCTTATGTGGCACCTTAATCATAGAATCAAAGGAAGTCCCAGTAGAATCTGCAGAATGTGTGAAATACATCATAGGCTTTTTGCTGTTTGGCTGTATTAGTCATACCAAAGAACAAAACTGAGTGTTACAAAAACTTCCCATTTGTTCCTTTTTAAAACTTTATGTAATTTCAAGTGTTTTGAAAGAAATGCTTAGATCAAAAGTGAAAGGCTTTAGTTTGATCAGAGAAAATGCTGAGCACAATTCCAAATCAGTGGGTATTTTTGCCACCTATGTAGCTTTATATGGTCTTAGCATCCCTCTTCTTAGCACACTAACAAAACTATTGCTAACCTCACCTTTTGGAGGAATGACTGCATCCCCCCCAAATCGCTCAAAGTGCAGTGCATTGTGATATGACATAATTAAGTATTTCCTGGGTTGCACATCTGTGATTTATAAATAATAGAAGGGACTATTACAGCTGTGCCAGATTTCTAACTTTTTCTTGGATGTAGTAGTTCAGATTGTGAAATGATCTGTTTAATCTGACTTTAAAATGTAAACATTCCTCTATATTTACTGTTTGGTATTTCAAAAATTTCAGAAGTAACCCCCCTTAAGTCTTTTTCAAAATACCTTTCGGGCAGTCTGAAATGGTTTTTCAGATTGACAGTGAGTCCAGTAATTCATTTTCTGTATAGTTCTAGCCAAAAAAGGCAAGTTGTTGTAAGTATCATTATAGCTGTCAGGGATGCTGGAACCTCACCAGCTGCAAACCGTATCTAAACCCCTTCCACAGGGTCCCAGGATGTTCTCTGTAGCACAGACGTCATTCTGCTCTGGTCCTTTACTGGTCCCCAGTGAAGATGTCATGTTCTGAGCTTCAGCTTTCTTCCAGGCTTTTACAGCAGTAGAGTCATACAGAAGAGCTGATGTCTGGGGAGCCTTGGGGGATTTTTTTTGAAGATGAAAGTAGACATTTTATTAATCCATCTTGCATTTCACTGACTCACTTCTCTTGAAAATAAAAAAGGCAAGACACTGGAAAGTTCCAACCTCATGTATTAGATGAGGTGCTGCATGAAGCAGTCTTGCGGGAAACGAAACTGTCCATGAAGGTGTATCCCACAGGTAGCTCTGTTGGCTGTATTTCGGCTAGTTTAATGCTAGGTAGTACAAGAAAACCATCTTTGGGTCCTCACTGTTTAACCTGGATTTGTTCATCCTCATGGTTGAAAACAAACCCTGAGACTGTTGGTGTGGCCATCACCAGCTTATCTGATCATACTGTGAAGAATGTGCATAAACTACTATTTTGCCTCCTAAAATGGCCTGTGAAGCTCCTTTCATGTGCAGCTGCACCACACTTTATATAAAAAAACATCACTGCACCACATAACTCCATCAGATTCCTACCTGGCAAATACAGATAAGTTCTGCTGATTTCAAGGTAATTATATCAACTTTTCAAAGTTGGCTCCAGCTATAGCTAGTTATCCATGCTTGTAATACCCCACCCCAGCTGCCTTGCGATGCATAAGTCAGGCTTGGTTCTTGAACATCTCATGCACCTTTGCATTGCAATTATGGCTTAGTGAAGATACCTTAACCCCAATTGAGTCTATTTAGGGGAAAACTGTGGAAGGTTCATTAAAGGCTAACAAGCCATCCAAATCAACACCTCTGTGATTACTCTCAGACATAGTAAAAAAAAAAAAAAAAAAAAAAAAGACAGAAGGCCTGACTCATAGCCATTAAAAAAGGAAAAACCACCTTAGACTTCAGGGACATCAGAGGAATGTTATCCCATACGTAAGAGCTGAACCGTGTGCTCTGATGTAAACTGGCAGATTGCCTTTGAAATCAACAAAGTAAGGGAGAGAAATGTTGGTTTCTGTGGGGGCTCAAATGAAGGCTTCATGTGTTCTCCAGAGATGCTATGGGGAAGAAATAAACATTGGAACAAGCAAAGTTCATTAAAGGTTAATATATTTGGGGTTTTGTTGTTTCTGGAGGTTTTGATTTTTCTCCCTGTAAGAGGAAACAACAAAACATTTTGTACTCTGCAAATGAGAATTCAGTCTAAATGTTCCTTGTTTGTTTGTTGTTTTGTTTTTTTGGTGTTTTTGTTTTTGTTTTTGTTTTTAATAGAGGCAACTGTTCAATATATTCCAGAGCTGGGACTTGGGGGGATCAGGTGAAAAGAACATGTGAACATTTACAACTAGCTTTCTTTCCCCAAATGACATGAGTAAAAGATTCTTTACAATTTAAGAGGTTGCCTTCAAATACCATCCAAAATGATATTCCCCAAATTGAAACTGCTTAGGAAATACATGGAAATTAGGTGAAGAAGGGAGAACTGATTAATCACCACCAGAAAACACTGAAAAAGTACAATGAATGTAAAGAATTCTTAAAATCTCCTGGGTAAAGCTACTAGTACTGTAAGAGAGGGGATGGCCATAGCATTCTGACAGAACTGGTGTCTGCAGGCGATCAGCTTGTGTCCTCTTTAGGGGACCTGGTTGAGATGGTAGATGTTCAGCACTCTTTGAAAATCCCACCTAGCATGCAAATCAAAATCCCAGTTACCACCTTGCTTCGTTCAAAGTCATGCTTAATGCTTTTACTCCAGAAAAGAGTAGTGCTTGTGACAAATTATTGAAGATAAAACTTATACAAGCTATAAACTGTGAATAATATCGCCCCAAGTCCTGAGCTCTGCTTGCTTAAGCAAAGACCTGAAAATGTATGTTTTCAAACAAAGAGTGATTTCTACATTTAGCTCTAATTCTTGCAAAGGGATGAATCACCTTGTGAAAAGTGGAGCCTCACTCTCCACCCCCTCTTTCCAACTGGATATCAGACTTGAAGGAAACCTTTCCAGTGGATCAGACCTGCTCTTTAAACTTGTGGACCACCTAGTGACTTTGAGTGTGTCTGGAGCTCTTTCAATCCACTGCAAGATTAACTTTACCAGGACAATACTCAAGAATAGATAGATCCATGACATGAGTTTCAGTCTGATATTTGACTGGACCAATTACTAACAAAATGTGGACTGCATACTTACACCTTTTGAAAGATCTGTGCTCACCGAATCTCAGGACACCCTGTTGTTTGTTATTAGATGAAGAACTCTGAATATTTGTAATAATATGTGATGTGTTGCTTTGCATTGTATTTTTTTCTTATAAAATAAAATAAATTATTTATTAAAAGTTATACTGGATGAAGAACATTTAAGAGTTCACCTGCTCTGGATACTTATTCTTAACCTAAAATCTCAGTTCTGGATAGTGATACTGCATACACTTGTGAACAAACCCATTCTCATGTCATAATTAAGTAGGATGGGAGTAACGAATAAGAGCAGATGAACTCTTAAAAGAAGAAAGATCCTAATCTCGTGCAAAGGTCCCTTGCAAGTGGATTCCTCTCCCCCTAGTGTCTTCTAAAGGTCTTTGAGGTTATTCTTTCCCCTCTTTCAAACTGACAGCTAACTCTGTGAGTAGTGTCAGTCTGCATGGGCCAGTGTAGTGCTGCACTGTGTGAAGGAAAGTGCTACAATATGGCTGGGGTGGGAGATGAAATGCAAAATAATCTCTGGCAGGCTGATGGCTTCCAGCCATGGAGGTATTTCAGGAACCTGGCCCTTTTGGTTGCATGAGTAATGGAGTGGTGAGGAGTGTTGTATTTTATGTGGCAATCCAGTCCTAGTCTACACTGTGTTTGACAAATCGGTCCATGGTGTATAAGTAGTTCTATTTGTAAATAAAGTGTTTTAAATATATTTCTTACAAAGTGGAGACCATGAATTCAACTATTTCAAATGGAGGATATTGCATTTAAGGGAGTACTGTATTGTCACTGGCACACTGAAGCCAGGCTTTCATATAAGGCCATGGTAAAAGCAAGTGTGCAGCTGCTTACAGGCTGTTTGGAATGGGCCAATACCTGTTTTCCCCTTTATTTCCTTGGCTTTCTGGTTAACTTAAGTTGCCCTCGTAGTACTGTGTCAGCATGTGATTTGAATTCCTGTGTGTTTCTATTTTCCACATTACGTGAAAGAAAGAAATGAGAAGGGCGAACTTATTCCTGAAGCAGGACTGAAAGTTGTCTTGTTGCTGCAAGTCAAGTATTTGGAAGCAGGGAGACCTGCTTAATCTGACACATGGGTACTCCTATCTTCACAGCCTCAAGAAATGCCCATGCAGCTGCCACATCAGCGCATGCAAACCCAGCAACTGGGGTAGAGTCACTTGCATGGCAAGGTGTAGCCTGGATGCTGACTGCAAGTGCCATTTGCAAGGTCTCAGATGTGCCTTTTCTTGCAGGGAATTACACTTTTCCTGTCACCCCCCAGACATTTGCAGAGCCTGTGAAGATATGCTTCCATACATCTCTGGGAAGCTGAGCCCAGTGAAATTGCCAATTAACTGTGGTAAAATGGAACAATGAGCTTTGGACTGAATTTTTAGGACAGTTGTGTTGCGGACCTTCAGCAAAGAAATCTATTTTGTCTCCAAACTGGCTGTTATGTTCTCCCAATTTTGTTTAAAATTGGCTTCTGTCTTCCACTGCTTTTAGTCCAGTGCTTTGACGCTGGATGTATGGGAGGCTGCAACAGGGTGCAAGTCACACTTGAAAAAGGGAATTAAAGCTCCTGCATTCTTGAGGCTTTTTTGCTGCTTTTTTTTTTTTCCCTCAAAAGTTTTGTTGCTGGCTTTGCAAAGTGCAAGTTAGCTTTTGAATAAAGCTGACAATTTTATATTTGGTGAGCATCTGGCTCAGGAGCTGTTGTCTGGATTAGGCTTTTGGTCACTCTTTGTAGAGCTAAATGACCATACAGCACTTTTTCCCCTCTCTGAGGAGTCCCCACACTTTTGGCCAGTGGCTCCGCATTCAGGAGTATTCAATAGTCAAAAAAATAGATTAGATCTCCTGGTGAGCAACTAATGGATTGAAACTAGAAACTCGTTTTTCTTCTCTCTGTCTGTGCCTCTCTTAAATCAATGAGGCACTGCTCAAGGATATTGGGTTATGCAGGATGCTATGAGGAAAAAAGACTCTGTAGTGAGTACCCTGAAAACCTGAAAATGGTGCTTGGATCCTTTTGATGAGGAAGCCTGCTGCTGCACCAGAGAGCACGGACCTTTTCTCACTAGACTGACTGAGCTGTGTATGAAATGCAAATACACACATGCCTTGCTGATAGTTTCAGGCTAGCTTTTCTGCGTAACATGCAAGAGCAGAGAGATATTACCAGAAACAGTACATATGTGAAATATGTGTTGCTGGATTTTCAAAAGAGCTCAGTTTGCACTTTAAGATACCTGAAAAAAATAGCTGAACTTTCAAAGAGCACCAGCAGAGCAGCATTCAGCAGGGGGGAAGATGGATGTTGGCTCTTCTAAAATTCTGGTCCTATACTGTTTTTTTTTTATCTTTGGTGTGAACTTCCAACTGTGCTGTGTACATAAAATAAATTGCATGGAACAATAGTATTACTACATTTTCCTTCATTATTAAGATCGCTTGCTGAACTAGTTTCACAATTCAGAGGAGGTAGAAATGAAATCATGTCCCCCTGAGAAGGTAGACACCTTTGCAGATGCTGCAGCCTTTTCTTCCAGGTAAGGAGTGTGCTGATGTGTCTCATGGACCTCTGTTACTCCGCACCCATTGTGTTGTGATTTCCAGTATGCATCAGAGAGATGCTTCACTGAAAAAGGGTATGATGATGGAATGTAGTGTTTAGCCTCGAGCAGAAAATCTGGGATTTTCCAAATCAAAAGGCTGAGAAGTGTGACAATCCTATGGAGAACAGATCTAGCTTTTGGCTTCAACTGGTTTTTGTGTTAACACATCAACCTTCACTCGGGATTGTTTTTTATTAGAAACGATGTTTTTCTGATGTGTTCATCTATGTAATTTTTGGATGTGGATGGTTGTGTTTACACAGGAGTTTCTGTCCAGAATATAAATCTGCTGAAAGACACCTTGATGGCTAGCTCACATGCATTATGTAATGGCATTCTGGTGTTCATTGCATGCGTTCACCTGCAGTTGTCTGTGCACTGTGGGCCAGGTTTTCCAGTGTGTCTCAGGTGGCAGCTGGGCTCCTGGGAACAGCAGGAGGGACCAGGGAGCTGCAATTCTGAGTGTCTGGTGATCTGGTGACATCCCGCTAGCTTTCAATGGAGAGCCTTCTTCTAAATGGCTTGTATGTTTCTGCATACTCTCCACAAACTAGTGTCAGCAGCACTGGGATTCACACCTTTATTGGCAAAACAGTAGAGCCCTTCTTTGAAAACATACTATATGCAGTCCAGCTGGAAGGTAAAAAACAAGGAGCTCATAATTCTGTGGTGGAAGTCTTCAGATGAAGCATCGTGTCTCGTCTAAGTCAAATTGCTTCCCTAACAATCTATGTCTCATGTTGGAAACATATAGGCACCTGTCTTGATCCTTCTTCCAAATGTCATTCCTTCAATTTCTTTGTTATCAATTTTCGCTCTTTAATGAAATCAGTATAATTGCACTGCCATAACCCACTGTGTGAGAGGCACCCCACCTGGCTTTTAGCTGTGTCATTAAATCTAATCAGGGAGCAACTCATCCCACACTTTGAAAGGGATAAATCAACTCATGGAGGTGCTTCTCTCACAGTTCTCACAGAAACTTGGCGATTAGCTTAATCTAGATACCTACATTTTAGAGAGCTAAATTTCTGAGAAGACAACTGTTCTTCCTAGTCGTATGTTACACCTTTCTTGTAATGGCACCCTGCTAGACAGACTCAACACAAATGCCTTTATCTTTTAGAATTCTCACACACAAAATAGTCAAGCCTGTGTCTTCAGCAAGATTTGCAAAGGCTCAGAGGGGAGCTGTGTTACGAATTCATGTTGACTTTAGATGGCCGTAATGGTGGTAGCTGTGCTTAAGGCTTTTGCCATTCAGCTCTCTCTAGGAGCAGGCAATAGGATTGTGGTTTGTGTATCTTTGGCTTTGCCTCATCTGAAGAGGAAGGAAGTGTGGATTGATCTTACTCCTCGCTGCTCGTATCCAAGATCAAATACCTGTCTCTCCCAGGAGAAGAGGAAACTGCAACACACATTTTCTTACGCAGGTTTTCTCTTGGAGTAGGACTTCATACATGTAGTGGAGTCCCTTGCTGAAGCCAATGCTAATACTTTGCTTTCAAGCTTTTCCCCTTAGTCACCAAGATGATCTTGGTCAAGCCATGTCACCTCTCTGAGACGTTGTCAGCCATTTAAAAAAATTGGGAAAATTAAATGTGCCTCCTTATTTAAAGGGCTTTGGGAGCCACAGATGGTAAGAGGTAGGCGCTGGCAGCAGCATCGACGCGTGCGGTGCGTAGTGTGTGTGGCGGCATGTGCCTGAACAATCCCTGGAACCAACATCTGCTTTCTCCCACAGGGATTTGAGGCGGCTGGGAGTGACACTTGTTGGTCACCAGAAGAAGATAATGAACAGCCTTCAAGAGATGAAGGTCCAGTTGGTGAATGGGATGGTGCCATTGTAACTCGGTTTTTAAGTCACTTCCTCGAGTGGTCGGTCCTGCACTTTCTATACTAGCTCTGAGATTTATTTTGACTAAAGAAGAAAAAAGGGAAATTCAGAAATACAGAAATTTCTGTAACTGAAGGACGCTGGCTTCTGCCACAGCATTTATAAAGAAGTGTTTGACTGAAGTTTTCATTTTCTTCCTATTTGTGTCCTCATTTTCATGAAGTAAATGTAACATGCATGGAACATGGAAATGGATCTACTGTACATGAGGTTAACCAATTTCTTGCGCTTCAGCGATGACAACAGCAAGCCTTCCCACCACATGTTGTCTATACATGGGAGATATATATATATATATATATAGCACCTTTATATACTGAATTACAGCAGCAGCACATGTTAATACTTCCAAGGACTTACTTGACTAGAGAAGTTTTGCAGCCATTTGTGGGTCACACAAGCTGCGGTTTACTAAAGTTTACTTCAAGTCGTACTTGTCTACAGAAGTGTATTGAAGAGCAATATGATTAGATTATTTCTGGATAGATATTTTGTTTTGTAAATTTAAAAAATGCTGTTACACAGCGTTAAGTTATAGAGACTAGTGTATAAACATGTTGCTTGCTCAATGGCAAATACAATACAGGGTGTATATTTTTTCTCTGTGTTACAAAGTTCTTTTAGTTTGCTCTTCTGTGAGGGTAATACGTTACGATGTATATAGTGTACAGTTTGCTACACATCAGGTACAAGATTGGGGCTTTCTCGATGTTTTGTTCTTTTTCCCTCTTTTGCTTCATTTTGTGTTCTTTTTATGTTAACCACTATGCTTTGTATTTTTGCTGCTGTTTGGTTTGAGCAACATATAAACCTTTCAGGTGTTTTGATTATATAAATGAGGTGGAAGGAGTCTGCTTAAATAAAGAACACCATTCTCCGTTGTGGGCTGTGGATGTCCCGAAGAGGTAAAGTAAAATGGGACTTAAAACATACAGCTCTCATCATCCCTCAGCAGCATTGCAGCATCTGTTTTCTTTGTGTGTTTCATAATTTGCTCCTGGTGCGCCCCTTCCTGGAAAGAGAAGATGTGCGTGGAATCCATCTGCACCAGTGTTTAAACCCAGCACCGTCTCAGGGTAGCCTTTGACCTGCTCGCTTGCTTTCCTTGCTGCCAACAAGCACCCTTCAAGGCCAGGAGACAAATCACCACGTGTTGTTAGCTAAAGAAAGGGATTTTGCTGTTCCTCTTATGCTTGTACGAGTCAAGTCCTGGAGGTGCAGTGTGGATGCATCTCCACTACCATCCAGCATGGAGATTTCACAGCATTTTCCAAAACTGTGGCCAGGAAGGTGAGGGAGGAAATTATTTTGGGAGCTGCACCCTTCCATATTGTTTTGTGGGTATTTTCAGCTTAGACACCCTCCACATCCCTTGGGAAAGTTGGACAGGTCAGCTGCAAAACACTCATTCATCTTACAAAAATGGGTACAGACCTGGCCACTGTGGGGCAGAGCAGAGAGAGGAGTATAAAAGAGAGCAGCCCAATATGGTCATGATGTTGGCGTCCCATGATGAAGATGATCTGTCTGAATCTGACACTGCTTATGTCAGTACTTGGTTGTAAATGTGGGCTAATGTGTACACTGCAGTTTGAAGATGATGTTGTCAGGGGGACCTAAAGGCAGCAGTGAGATGCTGAGTCCTCAAAATCTCACCACGAAACAAGTTGGGGCTGTCCTCCTTTAGCTGTAGATGGGAGTAATCAGGGCAGTTAATTTGGTATTCATAGGTTGTTTTGTGAAGCTTTGGTGAAGATAAGGATTAAAGAATTGCTCGGCAGATGGCAAGTGTTTACTGTAGATATATTGCTTCCTTAGAGGTGTTGGATAGTATCTTCCTTGATAATAACATCGACGTATTGACTTACTGTGTTTCCCCTTGTCCCCTGGCACTGCAGAGTAGAGCCTGAGCACCTCATCTAATGCCAAAAGGCAGCCATTTTCTTCTCCCCTACAGAACCATGTTTTGAACACCACTCCAGCTGGTTTTAAAAGTCTTTCTTCAATTTCCTCAAAGCCCTTTGATGAGATTTAATCCAAATAACAGTTTCTAAAGAAAAAGGGTGGGGGAAGGTGTAGGAAGAGAGGGTTTGCTGTGCGTTTGTTTTTTTTTCTCAGCAGCAGGGCTCACTTTCTTTCAGCAGGGCTTCTTGATGCAAAATTTGTCCATCTTGGAACAGCCTGCATGCTTAGTGATGTCCAATTCTCCTCTGAGAACTGCTCTTTTTCTGAGGCACAGGCAAGGCCTAAAAGAGCAGAAATAGGTATGTGGGAGGGCAGGAGCACATGCTTGCCACTCTCACCCTGCTGCCTTGGCACTTGCTGCTCATGGGAACGTTGAGCTCGCCTGACAGCACAAGAAACAGGACAGAGCTGAGTTGCACAGTGAGACACAGCCAGGCAGCAGGGGAAGGTCTGACCAACCTTGCTTGTGTGATTTCTCATCCTGTTGCTTCATTTTGTCAGCCACCAGGCCACAAAAGGTGGGGGAGAGGGAATCAAGACATAGCAATTTCAGCACATAGCAGAGATTTGTCACATAATAAATAACATTATTAGGCCTGTCAGCAGAGCTGTCTTGGGATTATTTGTGCCTCTCTGCCTGTAGCATTTTGTAAAATAACCCATAGGAAGACAGAAACAACAACTCTTTTCTTTGGGAAGTATTGTTCGGTTTCCACATGCATCCATCAGCTGCATTGAGAGAGATTTTAGTAGCAAATTTCAGTACTTAGCCTTTCTGCTCATTTTGTTTGGTCATTCATTAACTGCTGGCTCTGTGTAAGGATTTGGTTTGTTCTTTTTTCCATATTTCTACAAGAAAATCCCAGCACCGTTTGGGGGTTTTAAAGGCATACACAGTGCTGCTGGGGTGCACCTCATGGAGATGAGAATGATGTTCCTGATACACTGTAGTAATTGCCAGATATTGGAGCAGTCTTCAGAATACTTTTCAGAAGGTCCTGTGGAAAATGAACTGTCCTTAAACCAGACTGCATATGTAAATAGGGTACCTACTCTCAGTTCCCTGAATAAATAAATAAATGATCTTTTATATTTATTTCAAGAGCTGTTCATGCTACACATCTCTTTACTATAGGCTCTGAACTGGAAATAAAGACATTTTAACAAATACAGGCCAGAAGTTACAGCTTCTACTTTCACACTCAAATTCCAGAGTTCTGATGACGGAGCTACCAGTGAAAAGAGAACTACAAGTACTCAGTCTGTGGGGCAACTGGACCATTTATTTGGGCCTCTTACGCAGATTTAGGGTTATAAAGTAAAGCTCCCTTTTTACCACGGTGTTTTTGAAGGACTCGGGGGGGATCTGGCAGCACCTCTTTGAAACTTTCTACCTGCGAGCTTGGCCAGGCTGCTGTTGTTTTCACCTGCTGAGCCAGGGCACCACGAAGCACAAGTAGAAAAACTTGCCTTCAAAAGGAGTGGCAAATGAAAATGTATAGCCTGAAATCAGACATTGTGAATGGATGAATGCATATTTTGGTGTGCAGTAGGAGATCACAGTAATATTTTTTTGGTTATGCTCTTTGTAAGCACAGAGGGAGATAAGGACGGTAGTTAGCTGACCTTGCCAGTTGTGTGCTGGACCTGGAAACCACGACGAGGCAGTGGTTTTCATTAATCAGTAAAATTGGAGCTGTAGGTGGATTTCCTGCCTACTGTAAGTCAAAGCAGTTTGCTTTTTTAACTCGCCAGTGCTGCTATTGATACACTGAATACTTTTTTCCAGTACGTTTTGCTGCTAATTGCGAGGAAGTATTTCAAAGGGCTTGCGAGGTGAAGAGGCTCTCTTCAAAACAGTTTTTCATCTTGGGAGAAGGAAGTCTCCCCAAGCATGGCTTGTCTCCATTCATTGTTATCATTTGGCTAAATTACCTAACCTTAAAAAGGAAGATGATTTTTTAAAAGTATTTTTTTTCAAGTTTTGTTTTGTTTTGTTTTAAATTTCTTCTACATATTAACAGCAAAAAGAACAAAAAGCTTAAAAAAAAAAAAAAAGTTGTCTATTCAGTATTGAGTATAAAAATGTAGAATTCCCAGTTGTCAAGAAATTGTGACTCCTTGGACTGCTGTAGTCTTGAAATTAGTCATTAAGGCATGTGTGATACATCAATAGCAGTCTAAGAGTAGCACTTAGTTTCTGATCCTTTATTGTTTGTTGCAATTTCTTAGGCCGTGTAGGTCAGGAGTTTATATATCCAGTGCTATTGGTGCTGCAGCATTTGTCTCAGCTCTTTCAACTGTTTCAACACATAGGAGACCGTAGTGTTGCTGTATTTATCCCCTCCTTTTTCCCCTCCCGGGATGCTCTCTGTGCATTTTGTTTGTGTACATGTTTTTAGTAGTGTAAGATATGAAATTTTATATATTTTTTCATAAAAATAAAAAAATCTTTGAATAATGGCTCCATCCAGTTGTGGATCACACACACCATTTTGAGCCTGCCACAAAGCGTCGGGTTCTCCTCCCTCTTGCAGCAGTGAAGAATGGCTTGGAAAAGATGTAACGGAAGCAGTGGTGGGCTCGAGGAGGGCCTGGAGAACTGTTGACTTCAGGCTTCTGCAAGGTAACAGCTGCTTAGGACAAGAGCTGTGTGCTGATTCTCCTGGCCTCGTGGGAAATCGCAGCAGACAGTGGGTGATGTGGGTGCTGCTTTTGTAGCCTGGTGTTCGTGGCAAAGAATGGCACAGTAGGCGGGGACGGCAGAGGAGCAATACTTTGTAAACCAGAAGGAGCACGAGGTCAGTTGTGTTAACAAACTGATGCTGTCAGCAACTCAGATAAAATGCCAGTATCGACATGACAGTCCTAATGCAGTATTTTCTTAAGTAGTCCAGCCCACCCAGGCTAAGACAGGCTGCTAAGAGAAAAGCACAGGAATGGGGGAACTTTTTTAAAGAGGCTGAAAGAAAAATAGCTTTGCAAGCAATGGGGAGGCTTCAAGCAGCCGAGTCTGGACACTCCTGGGGAAAATAAAACTCTTGTCTAGCAATTTAAATTTAAAAAGAAAATAAGGCAGGCAAAGGAGGAAAAAGTGTGTTTAACATGGCTTTGTTGATAGGTACCTGTTTTCAGCTGCTGTAGAAATGGGGATGGTGCCCTCATGAAGATGCATCCATGAGAACAACTTCCTCTTGTTCCCATTTCTCTGCCAACATGAGCAAGTAGAAGAAGAAGAATCTCCTAAACAAATGGTGAATGGACAAAACTCGCTACTGCTACCAAGCCTTGGTGTTTGCAAAGTCATAGAATCACTAAGGTTGGAAAAGATCTCTAAGATCATCCAGTCTGTTAACCACCTCCACCATGCCCACTAACCACGTCTGTCAGTGCCACATCTCAAGAAACATCTCTGTTTCTTGAACACTTCCAGGGACGGTGATTTTACCATCTTCCTGGGCAGCCCATTCCAGTACCTGACTACTCTTACAGAGAACAAATTTTTCTTAGTACCCAACCTGAACCTCCCATGGCTCAACTTGAGGCTATTATCTCTTGTTTTGGAAGAAGAAGCTGACTCCTACCTCACTACAGCTTCCATTGAGGTTGTTGTAGAGCTATAGAGTCCTGGAATGCTCAATTTTCAATGACAAGACTTACTTTCTCGTATTTTCTATCCAATAGCCTAAAAATGGGGCCAGAGGGTTCTTAATTCCCTCCCTGTAGGTCCAGCAAGATCTGAGCCTATAGCACTGGCATGCCCAGAGGGTGCCCCAGCCCCAGGGCAGGAGCAGCAGGAAGGCTGCTCCCCATTACCCCGTGAAGCCAAGCCATTGTGCAGAAAGCAATGCAAGATTTATGAGGCCATGGGGAGAGTGAGTGAGGGACTCTTCATGTATTTTTCATGGGCTGAAATGCATAAATAGCATGCAATGCATAAACTGTGACCAGATACTTAAACAAAAAAAAAAGGGAATAGAGAGCAGGCTGGAATAGGGGAAAAAGTGATGAAGGAATGAGGGAGATTTATTCAAGTCAACAGGGCCTGATGAAAGTCACCCCTGAGTACATTAAGAAGCAGCCAAACAGCACAGCCTGAACTCAGGGTGATTCATCTTCACCGACATGAGGATGGAGCTGGACCCTGAGGACTGGAGAAGGGCACACGTAGTACCTGCTTGTAAAAATGGATGGGTAGGAGGGAAGAGGCTGGCTCATCTGCAATTCCTCAGGTGCAGCACGGTATCTGGGGAGATGCTAGGACAAACTATTGCACAACCGGTTTATCATGCCACTGACGGGCCATGCAGAAAACAAAATAGCATCAAGGGCTCACAGAAATGAAATGGCACACAAATGAGGGGAAATTGGGATAGAAGGGTTATGCAGGGATGTAGGGTGACTGTCACAGAGGTGTCAGCTGGCCCCACACTGGGCAACATAAGTTGCAATGCTGAGTTTTGAATGGTAAATCTAACTGAGGAGGCAGAAAAGGATCTCCACCAGTGCAAGGAAGCTGGCCCCATCCACCCGCTGCATGAAAACAGCCTCTGCAGAGGAAGATGACAAAAGGGCAAGGGTCTACAAAAATAGGGAGTGAGAGGTGGGGGCTCTCAGGTGCATGAATGGCCATTGCAAAGAGAAGATAGGCAATTTCTCATGGCAGTGGCAAAGAAGAAAGGAATTTACATTGTTTTCCTGTAAGCAGAGGAGGTTATTTTTTGGTGGAGAGAGCACAGTGCCTTCCTGCAAATAGGGTAGAGCAGCAATAGCTCAATAAACCCTAAGCCATTTCAATAGCATTTCTGTGGTGCATGCCATTCTTCATGGTGCTTCACACTATGTCGGCATCTGTGGCATTCTGTTAATTTGGTGCACATGTGTTTCCAACCGTGCATTTCTAATAACACATCCCCTGCCAGAGGTCAGATCTCATCTATGTGAAAATGGGAGAGCAATCTGACACCAATATCGGGCAGGAAGCAAGAGCCAGAGCACACAGCTAGAAAAAGTCTTTGCCCTCTCTCGGTGAAAGCTGCTGGTCACTCATTTTGCACCCGTGTAAGCAAACCTGAATTGTAACACAGCAGTAAAATGCTGTTTAAAACCTAAGAGAGCTGCTGCATTCAGACAGTGCAAAGGCTCAACAGTGCTTGCTCATGCTGCAAGATCCCAGGAGGCAGCCACGGCTCCTCTTTGGGTTCAGCCTCATGTAGGAGGACACCTAGAGGTCTTATGTTGTGAATTGAGATGGCTTGGTATGGAAAGGAGCTTTTTTAGTACAAACACAGAATCTTTTTTGGTGCTTTTTTTCTCCCATTTAAGCCATCATTGTATACGTATTTCATGCTGTAGTGGCTCTGAGGGAAGCCATGGGGAAATTAGTGGCTCAATGCTCCCCAAAGACACCCATTACCTCTGTGACAGGACTTCCTGTTGGAGTATTTTGGTCATATCCCTCATGACCCACTGGATTTTGGTGGCTGCAGGCTCAAGGATGTTTCTCTGCAGTTTGAACAGACATCATGTGAAAGAATAACCAGCACCGCCTGCTCAGTGAAAGCCTCACCTTATGAGTTTCACCCCTTCCAACTTGCCAGGAGCCTAGCACCGATTTTGCTGTTTCTTAAATACAGAAGTGCAATATTTAACAAATAATGAAATCTAAACAGAGGTAGCCCTTGAAAGTTTCCACTCTTGAAAACCTGACTCCCCTACCAGCCAAGGTTGGACTACAAGAAGGTTTTTTGTCAGAAGTAGGGCTCAGATTCTCTCTGAACAGCATTTCTCTTCTTTGCCCACTGATTTTTGTTTTTTCCTCTTCCTCCTTTCAGAAAATCTTTCCCTTGTCCAGCTAAAACTTTCATGATTGCTGACATAAAGTGAAAAAGATGCTTTGCTACACTGATCTGCCCCTTTTGTAATCTATTAGCAGAGCTGGCAGGGAGTTTGACCACAGAATTCCTTCTGCTTCCTCAGAAGTTGCTCATAAGTTCCTCATTTGTGCATTTGTGTCCCTGAAGATGACTTATTTCTCTTGGTGATTGTTGTTTAATATAAAAAGAACATAGAAAAGAGGAAACGGGAAAGTTTTTGGGGTAAACCAGGGTGGTTGTATGCAAAGTCAGAGATTTATGTCAGCTGACAGTGGGGCTGTTACAGAGATTTTCAGGAGAGGATACAGAAGGCAAAAGCCTGCTTTGTGCCTGCTGAAGGAGCCCACACTCCGTTAATGTGATGATCAGGCAGAGAGCAGGTGGGAAATAACTTTCTAATAAGAGCTTGGCTGTTTTCCTGCCCAAAATAATGGCAGGCGGAGACTGAGATTTGTGACTGAAAATCACTTCTCTGATATATCTGTTGGAAAAAGGAGGGGGAACAAAACTATGAGATGGGATACCAGACATTTTCTTGTTTTGCTACCAATAAAGGCCACATTTATTACAAGAAAATTGAAATCCTATTGATTTTTCTTCTGAGATGATGTGTTCCAAGCTTGACATTTAAACATGAAACTCTGAGCTCCAAAGTTTAATCATTTACTCCTTGAGAAATACAGTGTATGGAGCTGCTGAATGAAAGGGCATGCAAGGTAAAAATGATCCTTCCTTAAAAAAAAAAAAGAAGAAGAAGAAGAAAGGGAACAACCTCTCCCATTCATCGGCAGTGAAAAATGATCCTGGTACCAAAGGGAGGGAGTGTAAGGAAACCTGAGAGAGCCAGCAGAAATAGTGGGGAAGACAGAAAGAAGGAAAAAAAAGGTTATTCTGAAGAATGTCACAAGACATACCCAAATAAAATCGGTAACATTTGCAGTCTTTGGCTTTAGGGCTAATGGAAAGAACTTCTCCAACAATTTCAGAGCTCACCAACACCATGATGAGAAAGCAGCCACAACGGCAGTAGTGTTCATTAAGGAGC